GAGAGAGAGAGAGAGAGAGAGAGAGAGAGAGAGAGAGAGAGAGAGAGAGAGAGAGAGAGAGAGAGAGAGAGGGAGAGAGAGAGAGAGAGAGAGAGAGAGAGAGAGAGAGAGAGAGAGAGAGAGAGAGAGAGAGGGCGAGCTCTTTAGTGCAGCAGGAAAAGAGAGATTACATCATCATGTCGCTCTATTAAAGGGTGCGACGTGCTCCGACTGCTGAGTGGCACACAGTGAGTCAGCAGAACCGACCAGTGGGAAACACACACACACACACACACACACACACACACACACACACACACACACACACACACACAGTGTACCTAGTAACATTTCAAGCGACACCTCATCTAATTATATTAACAGAATAGCATCTATTCCAGGTTCGGAAACAAGCTCGGTCCATTTGCAGGCCTTTGCTTCGCTCCGATAACAGCTGTGGATTTCACAGAATGAAGTCATTCTGTCAGACCCAATGGTCTGTGGGTAACAGACTGATGACTGCAGGAGGGCACCAGCTGAATGCGGTGAGGCACCAGCACGTGGAAAGTTCTTCTAGCATGCAGAGCAGCCTTTATGCCACTGCAGCGCATCTTCCAATTATAAGGCCACCCTAGTGGGCGTCATCGCAGCCTAGAGGGCCCCGCATCACGTTTACATCATCTTTTAAACACCATTAATCTGTGTGCCAATACATTCTAGTGGTGTAAATTAGCTGATATTCATAGGGTTTGTCTTTGTCATTCGTATAGTTCAGATACATTCTCGTGTTCTAACAACTGGCATGTTTGTGAACAGTTTGGGAAATACGATTATTCGCTTTCTTACTGAGTGCAAGAGGAGAGGATTGACACCACAGACATACTGTATCTGTTGGTTAAATATGAAAGCACAGCCAGATGATGGTTAGCTTAGCTTAGCACAAAGACTCAAAGCCGGATGAATAGAATGAATAAGCGCATTTCTCAAAATGTCAAACTCATCCTTTAACGCCCCACATCAACATCAACATCAACATCTGTTGCATTCTACTACTGCCGTGTACTTCTACTGCATGTCTGCGTATTTGCATCAAAAACTTTTTAGGTACTAACTTAAATGTGTCCATAGAGCAGAGTATTGACAACCATCAAGTGCTGAAAGCTGCCATCAATTGTGATGCATAACCTAGTTTACTTCAGATAAATCAGATACACTATTTCATTTATTTATTTTGTTTTAGGCAAAGTTTTTTCAGAGATATATTGTAGAAGTATTGGTGCTGAATCTCAGGCATCATATTAGCAAAAGTATTGAAAATGTCCAAACTATTCCCAGAGCTCTGCTTCTGTCCCCGTTTCTTAAGTTTCATCCCTCCATTCTTATCGGATTCCCAGCTTGCCTGATCGCAATGAAGTGTAAGCTCCTGATACAAGACTAGTTCTCTCCTTGTGGTCTATCTGCAGTTCACTCAGCCGAGGACTCGGGGGACTCACAGCACAAAGCTAATACGACTCCTAAAGGAGTCTCCTACCACGTCGTTCCCTCCCTCCCTCCCTCCTTCCTTTCATCTATGCTTTTCCTCCCTCTGTATCGCTCAGTCTCCCACAATCAATCTCTGGCGATTGTCTCAGCTCCATTTCATTCTGAACCCATCTCCAGCATCCAGGCGTTCGCTCCATCCTTGACTTTCCCCTTCCTCACTCCATCCCACCGCTCCCGATACAAAGCCGTTCTGCCACAGCGGGACATGAGATTACTGGGATCCATATAGCAACGGACCAAGCGTTCCATTACATAATGCATACAGACAGAGGGGAACCGGTGATTGTGTGAGCATGTTGGTGTTGTGAGCATGTGCATGCGTGCGTGTGTGTATGTGAATGTTGGATTAAGGTCATTAGAGTTTATCCCTCCAGATTCATGGGAAATGTTGGGAGGATAACCAACTTGTGTCAGTAAATACAGTCTTGCACTAAAAACCCTGACACATGGATGTATGAGTTGTGCAACCACAGGTGGCAGTATTGCCCTCGCTTGATGTTGCTCAGCTGAGTTATAGTGAATGCATGCGAGGACAAAAAGATACAGAGGAGTTCTGTGTCCTGAGCTACTGACACACATGTTGTTACAACAAAGAAAGGAAAGGCTGGACTAGGATCTAGTGTAACGTCAGGGAGAGTGTTTGTTTTAGTGGTGGAAGAAGTCCTCAGATCTAATAGCTAGAGATGCACCGATACCTATTCAAACATCTGAATTGGGTATTGGATGCCATTATTTTAATCAATAACAATTCAGTAAATTTAATATATTTGTATTTATTTGTCACATTTTATTTTACAAAGTTAGGGGATCAATGTTAAAGTCAAGCCTGATGTTAAATACTCTTGCATTCAGAAGCACAAAAGTACAAACAAAATGGACTTAGTATCAAAAGTAAAAGTACTCTCATTACGCAGCACAATGGCTCCTGTCTGAGTTACGTCATGTTATTCGATTGTTCTTACTGGTATATTATTGTGCATGTATGCGCAATGCATCGGACTTCATACATGGATCATATACTATACTGTATATTTGTGTTCAAACCCTTGATCCTCAAAGTAAATACTGCTGTCAAATAAATGTACAAGCAACATTCGCATTAAACAATATCTGCCTGTCAAACGTGGTGGAGTAGAAGAGTATGACGTGGCATAAAAATGGAAATACTCAAGTACAATAAAACACCTCAAAATTGTACTTCAGTATTTGCGTATGTGTACTCAAAAATACTCCTTTACTAACATCTGAATAAACAGAATCTATGAATTTGCTTGAACATTCAGCTGCACGTTTATTTTTATTGTGCTTATGGGTGCACGCATGCATCAGTGTGTGTGTGTGTGTGTGTGTGTGTGTACCCAGAGATCCAGTCCTGTGCAGGCTCAGGTAGGCTCTGTCTCTTTCCAGCCCGCCGCCCGGCTCTCTGCGCAGAGCGGTGCGGCCCAGGTGACCGGCATACTGACGCAGGAAGGAGGGAGCGCTGTGCGAGGCGGGAGGGTGCACGGCGCACACCACCACGGGTTCTGAGAGACACGCGATGCAGGCGGGAGGGAGGGAGGGAGGGAGGGAGGAAAGAGAGAAGGGGAGACAAGGAGAGAATGCGAGAGAAAGCGAGAAAGTGAAGGGCGGGTCGACACAAAACCAGAAAAAGGAAAGAGAGGGATGAAGAGTTGAGGAAATAGAAGAGGAGAGGGAACAGAAGCAGTAAAATAGAGAAATTGTAGGAAGGAAGGGAGGAAAAAAGAGAAAAAGGTGACACAAGGTCACCCAGAGACCAGACAGTAAAGGCAGCAGAACATGTACGAACAGCACAATATGTAGTGAAGAAAGATTAAAAAAAAATGAAATGGTGGGAATGAATACAGCTGCTGTACTCGTGTTAGAAGAAGAAACAGGTCTGAGCACACAGTCACAGAAATAGAATGGAAAGTGTGTGATGCATGAGGCGTGCAAAGGGGAAAATATGTTGAGTCATGAACTGATAAAAAGGCTGATTTTTGAAGAACAGAGAGTTAAGACAAGAATAAAGAGACATGCAGAAGAACAACTAGCAGATGCATTGTGGGAAACGCGCCACATGAGGTGAAGGGAAACGTGAACGACCGATCGAAGGACGAGAGAAGATATTAAGATGACTGTTGGTGGAAACTTAAAAGAAACAAATGCTCCGCAACTTAACCCCTCAGAAATATGCGACCGTCTGCATGAACGTATCATCTTCTTTCTCTTTACATTCATTAGTATTAATGAAACATTTGTGCAGAATGTGGGAGGAGGCCCAAATGTCACATCTCATATCTTTTTAAATAATCCCCAATTTACGCCACATTGCACTCACTGTAAAGTCCACTGTGTACGTCAAGCATGAGGGTTTAAAGAGTAGCTGAACGAAACCTGTGAGTTTTGGCTAAAGTGCATCTGCCCTGGAAGTTGAAAGATTGCCTCTAGAGCGTGAAAAGAGCTGAGCCTCTGCTCTCTTTTCTGTGGATTTATTATATAAAATATCAGCACATTACAACATCTGGTGAATCAGTGTTAATGACTGATTAACTGGCGATAGCAATGTGATTTACTACGCTGTGACAAGAGAGTGTAGATGAAGCATTAAGTTAGTTCATAAATTAGCTAGCTAGCTGGCTAATTCCACCATCATTAAATGCTACAGTTACAGAAGATTAAAAACCACCAAATTAACTGCTGGACTTGGTCAAAGTTACTTTAGCTTTAGCTAGTTTTTAACATTATGGCCGTTACCCTAATGCTCGTAACTAGCGCTAATGCTAACTGCTAATGCTAATCACTACCATGCTGACAATTATTATGATTAGGTTAAGTGTCTGTTATGACAAAATACAGTATAAATTCTCACAAACATTTGTGAATTTGAGTTTACATTCAAGGCTGGGCTATGTGAACGCTAGCGATTAGCATAAGTGATAGCTATGTGTATGCTAGCAATTAGCATGAGGCAAACTAAAAAGTCTAACAGATACGCTTCAATAATATTCCTCTCCATGTTCTGCAAAGACGTTTTATAGGAAGGGAACCTCCATATTCCAATTATACATGATGTATAATTCAAATAATTTGACCTAAAATGTCCAGATTAGGATACTATTAAATAGCCACACACACACACACACACACACACACACACACACACACACACACAC